GGGGAGCGCGGCAGCCCTGGGGTGGCAGCTCGGCCCCTTGTTACGGTGTGGGGCGTTTCAGGCACCTTCCTTGGATCCTTGGACCCGTTCCTGCGCTGGGGTGCAAGGTCGAAGTGGTTCATATCTGTCAGAAATCACTGCCAGAGCCCCGGCACTTCCTTCCCTTGCCCATCAACACCCATCCCAGGGGCTGAGCTCCGGCGGCGGCGGCGGGAAGCGCGAGGGAGGAGCGGCCGTGAGGGCACATAGGTTAGGAGGAGGAGAGGGAAGCTGTGTTAGGGACAGACCTGCAGCCTCAAGAGACAGGAGCGATACGAAAAGAGCATTTTCGGGATGATTCCTGGTGCTCCAGCACCTTCAGCTGCCGTGATAGAGGCCCTCGAGCAGCCCTTACCCCTGGGGACAGCCGAAGGCTGCGGGAGGTCGGCGGCCGGGCTCTGCAGATTCGTAACCTTCAGTTTTCTGACGGAGATCTGCGGACCCCGAGGTGCAGAGAGAAACCCCGAACCCTCTGCCCGCACGGGGCTGTGTCTGCCTGAGAAAAGCTCCACGAACGTCCAGCTTCTGCTTCCAGCTCAGGCAGATGCCGTGGCCCGAGCAGCAGATGCAAACAAGGGCCGAACTCACTCCTGATCTCTGTCCTCGGGACTTTTGTGGTCCTGGGGGAGCTGGAAGCTGGCTGGCAAGGTCTGGCCTGAGTGGCGAATTCATGGTTTGCTCTAGAAGTTTGGACGGGGACTGGAGTTGCTCGGTGCCTTGGAGGGAAAGCTGTAATCATCTCTGATACAGCCTTGTAATTGCCATGTGGGCATATTCGCTGTTCCTGCCAGCAAACCAGTTCAGCATAGATTTTTCTGCTTGGATTTTCAGGATTTCAGTTGCCCTCTAAATCGGGGTCTTTGTGTGGATGGGGGCTTTGGGGGAGGCATCGCTGCCAGCTGCCCGTCTCAGACGCTGCTAGGGGACAAGCGGCAGAACTTCCCAGCCGTTGGTTTGTGTCCTTGAAAGTTAAACCGAGAGAGTGAAGCGGGGTGGTTTTTACAGACCCAAAAGCTTGCAACCTGGCCCTTTGAAACCGGGGTGGGGGGTTTGGAAGTGTCAGCCCCCTCGTTTCTTTTGTTCCAAAACAAAGCACCCTCCTGCCAGCCCCCTTGGGTGTCATCCAAGGTGGCAGTTAAATTAAAGTAGGGTCATTTGAGATCAAAGTTGCTGCTGCAAACGGCAGTAACAATGAAGGGAAGAGGGGGTTTGTTTCCTTCAAAAGGACTGAAAAAGTGCATTTACCTTACAGTCTTTTGAAACTGGGTTTCCAGTGGTTTATAGCAGTTGTTTCAAGCTGCAGGAGGAAATTCCAGCTGCTGGGCTCTTACACTCTTAATTTTGTTAAGCCTTTGTCAACCCTTTTTTTTTTTCTTCTTCCTTTTCTTGTAGATTATAGCACCTATAGCCAAGCTGCAGCTCAGCAGGGGTAAGTAGCTTTATGGTCTTATCCTCTCTGTTTTCAAAAGTTGTAATATCATAGTTGTGTAATCTCAACTCAGGTGTGTTTGCAAATCCTGTGGTTTTCCCTGGGCTTTTAGATTTTGTATTGCTCTAGTATTTCAGCAGAAATCATTTGGGCGTGTGAAAGCTGTCTCGTGAGACGTGTTTTGTGATGCATTATAAGTGTCTTTCAATTCCTTTCGCAGCTACAGCGCGTATGCACCTCAGCCAGCTCAAGGATATGCACAGACCACCCAGGTAAAGCACGGAACGGGTTTATAATTGCTGCTGAATCACATGTCTCCCAGTAACCTGCACGGGGCTCTGCCAGCCACAAAACCCACCGAGCAGCAACATCGAAATCTGTCACTAAAAGTTCTTGCAGCCTCGCACGCAGCCCAAACTGCTTCCTGCAAGTGAAAACAACCTGAACGTGGAGGAGCCTCCACAGTCCCCTTCTGTGTTAATCCCTCCGAGCCCAAGGTGGTGGCTGTCGAGAGGGTTATAAAAGCCTAATTCGTGGTGGGTGTTGGACACCACCGTGTTGGTGGGTGTTTCGCTCACCGTGATGGGAGGGAAAAATCGAACTGCTGTCTGTGAGGCTGCAGCAGTTGGACAGAGGAGGAGGAGGAGGGAATAGCTGGAGGTATTGTTGCTAAAACTGTTAATACTCTTACTTGGCTGGACTGTGAAATGATGATGATCTTTAAGAGATTAATTAAATCATGCTTATTTTTAATCCTTAGAATACAAGGTACTAAACCCACGTTTATATACACACTCCAAGTATGTTTTCAAAGGTAAACCTTTGTCCTCAGAAAGCGGTGTAGGTTGGTTTTCCCCCGCCTCTCCTGAGGATTTTGAAGGGAAAATCCTGCCACACAAGAGTCTGTCTGTATTACGGCGATAAAAACCCACCACGTTGTTGTGTTGGGCTGTTACCGAGCAGCTTTTAATTGGCTGGTTCTGGTGGTGGCAGCAGCTTGGGCTGCGGGGCTGAGCAGGAGCTGCCTTCCCGTGCCCGCTCAGGCCGCCGGTGCCTCGCTGCCCGGGCGGGCCAGGCTGCGCCGGTGCTGCGCTCGCTGGTTCCTGCGGCGGGGTGAGGAGGCCCTTGGCCAGAAATGTCGGTGTTGCGGGAGGAGCGCAGGGTCGCTCTGGGCGTTTGGGTCAGCCCCAACGAAGGTGGCGGTCCCTTGGGTTTTGGAGGAGCGTTTTTGAGCCGGAACGAGGGCAAGAACCTCTACCAGATGTGCCGGTGAGGCGGAAAGATGGGTGTAAGCAGGCTGGCCAGAACAGAAGGCCTCAACGACATCCTCTAGTGTGAGACTGAAACAATTGCCAGGCTCAGCTCAGCTGTAGGCAAATAGCCGTGGGAGGTTTGCAATGTTTCCTGCTTCTTGATGTAGTGAGCTTCCACGGACAGTGACACAGTCTGGCCAAGGCTTTTAAACTCAGGGTTAAGATCTGGGGCTTGAGTTCAGGGAGGCTGGCTCACGAGTGACACGGGCTTAGATCCCAAAAGGTGTTTTAAATTCCAGACTCCTGCAGGAGTCAGTAAATCCCTTTGAGAACGGGGACGTTCAGGCTGTCTTCCCGTCGCTTCTGGAGCTGTAACTCGAGTTGTGTCCTAAACCCGGCTGCGGAAAGCGGTTGCAAGTCGACTGGTGCCTGAAGTCTGAGCCGGGCGGTCCGTGGCAGGGGGCTGAGGTAGCTCTGTAGCTGGTCCAACTGCAGCCCCAGCAGCTCGGGGCTAATCCAGCCGCGCCGCACTGCGGGTTGGCTCGCCGTGGCTGAGCAGTTGCTTTGTGGTGCCTCAGGGTTGAGCCGGACCATGGGCAAAAGCGGGCCTGTAGTGATAGTTTGGGCTTGAAAATGAGCTCTGGGGAAGGTGGGAGTTGAGAGCTGATCCCTCGCTGAATGCAAAGGCGCCGGGACGGGAGCAGCTGTGAGCCGGCAAGTCCTTGGGTGCTCCTGCTCATCCCCTCCTTGGGTGCCTACAGAAACTGCTGGTTTTCGAACTGGTGGCTGGTGGACGTGAAGAATATTCAGAATAACGTCGTGCAAACCTTAAACAGGTTTCTTCTAGTGAACGCTAAAGCTGTTTTATGCTGAAGTAGCTGACTTGTTTTACTTGGTGCAGTTCTGCCCCTTGAGTAGTCCCCGTCCCCGCGTTTAAGGTTGGCCCTCGGGAGGTTCCTGTGAGTGTCGATGGGTGCCCTGAGCAGTTAGGAGGAGCTGGATGCTTTCATGGTTTGCGTTACGTCGCGCCGAGGCGCGTGGTGAAAATGTCGGAGGCCAGCCCTCCGATCCTGGCGCTGAACTTGGCGGTAGCGCCCAGACTCCCGCAGCAGCCTTGGCTCGGCTCCGGTGGCGTGGAGTGCGCCCGGTAACGCTGATCCCCCGGTCAGTGTGAGTCACCGGGACGGTCTGCGTGTATCTCTGCGATGCCCCTGAGTCGCTTCTGTGGGTGAATGAAATGTGTGTCCTCTTTGGAGCAGACGTACGGACAGCAGAGTTACGGAACCTACGGACAGCCCACCGACGTCAGCTACACCCAGCCCCAGACGACTGCGACGTACGGGCAGACTGCGTACGCCACGTCCTACGGGCAGCCTCCTACCGGTAAGAGCCCTGGGCCTGCAAGGCTTGGGCTGCCCTGGGGAGAGAGCTGAGCTCCGGTCTGCCCTGGGGAACTCCGGTCTGCCCTGGGGAACTCCGGCTCAAACCCTTCCGAATTCCTCTGGGCAGCTCTGAGGCGGGAAGGGCGTCCTCCCTCAAGGGCCTGCTGGAGCGAAGGGCGGTTCCAAACGATGCGAGGAGGCGGGTGGGCGGAGGAGGAGCGACCAAATGCGCCCGTTTAATTTTCCAGGGGATGTTTTGGGTGCTGGGGCAGGTGGCTGCAGCGCGCTCGGGCCTCAGAGCAGAGTGTGCCCTGGCTGCTCCCGAGAGCTGGCGTCCGCAGCGCTTGGGTGGCCTGAAAATCCAACCGCTGGGAGTGACCTCTGCCTGTTCTGATCGTGTACCCTCTGCTTTTTGTCTTGTGCTTCCCACAGTAGAAGGGACCAGTACAGGTTTGACTCTCCTGCTCGCTCTTGCATGGCAAGCGCTGTCTCCTCCCGTCCGAACTGGCGGTGTTAACCCTTTAGGTGTCACTTGGCTTTAGCGCTAAAACCCTCCGGGTTCAGAGCACCCGCCCACGCGGTGACCGCGCTGGCCAGGCTGCCGTGCTGTTTGCCATCCCCACAGCTCGGTGAAGTCTCCGCGTGGCGTTGCTTTATGGTTAAAACCCCCTGGTGACAGCCACGCCGACACGTTTCGGGTCAATCTAACCCCCTTTGTCCCGCCGTCTCCTAAAGGGTGAACAGCGCGGTGAGGCGCGTCCGGCCGTCCTGGCCACCCCCTTTGCATGTTCCGTGTTGTCTCGGGGTGTCCAGTGCCGGCACCTGCGTCGCGTGTCCGTTAACGCGCTGTAAGCTGCTCCAACGCCTGCTCTTTGAACGGGGGTTTTGGACAGACGGATGTCTTCATGTCTGAAAGAAACTGGCGAGGCATCCTTCCGTCCTGGTATGTTTGTACTCAACAGTCAGGAGACTTTGAAAAGGAAAACAGATTTTCTCCCAGGTAGTGCCTTGGGTACCATTTTTTGCAGATTCATCCTTTGCTGTGAGAGACATTACAAACACCTATTAGGGTGGGAGCTTGCTTAAATACTTCCCAAAGCAAGGGGGATCCCAGGACAGACAGGCAGTGGGGGTATCTGGCCACAGGAGCCATTGAGGAATGCTTCACAAGGAGGAGGTGGAGAGAAAGTGTTAACTGATAATCTGTCCAGTGATATGCCATTTAAAATATTTCACCTCTTTTCACAAATAAGGAACATTTCTGCCCGGCAGTCAGCACGCGTCCCGCAGAATGAGAGCCGGTTCCCGTTAGCCAGTGTTGCTGCGGGTCGTCTACAAAGAGTTTTCCTTTCCTTTAAAAGTGTGTGGACATGAACTGGCAGCAAAAAAGCTTTGTGGATTTCCAAAATTCCTTCCTTAGAAATGTCGGAGTCCCGTAATCCTTAACCACGGGCTTCAGTCCTGCAGGGGTCACAGGCAGCTGTGCTGTTGATGGTTTTCCTTGTCCTTATCCCTTAAGAGTACGTCTGCTGGAGGAGTCATAGAATCAGGCCTCTTTTTTGCACAGCTTCTTTTGAGGGTGGGGGGAAGCTTCGTTTTCTTTTCATCAAAAAAAAAAAAGGAAACTCAGGAAGTGGTCGAGCAAAAGCTCCTGTCAGGCTTTCGGATACGCTTTGCCTCACTCCATGTAGCGCTGGCCTGTGGCAGAAGTGGTGGTGGTGTTCTCCAGGCAGGGTGCCAGGTTGTATTTATTCTTCTTACACCTGCCTCTCCTTGAGGAGCCAGAGCTGTGGAATGAGACGCTTAAAGCCTGTCTCCTCTCTCCTGTCTCTGCCTTTCACGCTCAGTAGAGCCCAGGGTGTTGCCTGGGGCATAACATCTTTATGCCCGAAGAGACGTGCGATTGCTACGGTTGAATCACAGTTTCTTTTTCCTGGGCATTGCCTTTTTGTAGCAGAGGGATGTCTGCAATTACTTAAAAGCAAAGTGCCTTTTTTTATCTTAACAGTCTATTTTTTGGGTAAGATGCTGTTGTGGTCACGGAAATTCCAATCCTGTGCGGACACACCCTCTCGGGACTCACCAGGAATGGCAGAGGCTGTCCCTCTGCCTCGCCCCAGAGCCCCAGACGAGGGCTGGCGTAGCCTGCCCGGGCCCTCGCCGCCCCAAGCGCTCCACCACCCAGCCTCAGGCTGACTCCTGGGCCACCTGAGGAGAGAGCTACCGCCTGGCTTCTGCTTCTTCCCTCCCCGGGGCTGCAGGAGAAGGAGTCTTGGAGTCGCCTTGTTACGGAGAAGCGGGGTTCAGGAGCCTGCGGGCTCCTCGGCAGCTCCCTGGGCGCCAGCTGGGTGAGGGGATCGATCGGCACCGTGAGGCCTGGGGTCGCGGTTGGCTCTTTAATCCCTGGGGTGCACCAGCGTGAATTACGGGGCGAATCAAGAGCTGCATCTGTGCGGGTTATTGGCTTCCTAACGGCGTCGTTGGGGGCAAAGGCATCGTTTCAAGTGTTCAACTAGGAATCTCCTTTAAGTTGCCAAGTGGGAATTACTCTCTGAAGACAGCCAGCCCCCACTTCTCTTTTTACCTGTGAAATTTGGCATTGCGTGTGTTTTAAGTTTCCGATGTGTTCAGAATTGGGGATGAACGCACCCATGGCTGTCTTGGCTGCCGCGGTAATCTGTGATACCAGCACAGAGCAGAGAGCAGGTAGCCTCTGCGTCCCCTTCTCCAGACCCTCCTTCGTAGGAGATAGGTGTGCCCAGCAGGAGTCGGCTCTCTTTGGGCACACGGGACCCCTGGGTAGGTTGCCGTGCTGCTTGCATCAGAGAGAAGCCTCCAGAAACTGCTGAGAAGCCTGCTTATTATTTCAGAATGAACCTCTTTGTATCCAGTATTCTCAGCTGATGTTCTCTGAGGACCAAATCCCGCAAGCTTCCCCTCTGCCCGAAGAGTTCCTAAACTTCAGTAAGGGTTTTGCTTGCAGGCTGGGGTGCTTTGAGAGGAAACTGAGCCACATGACTGGACATTTTAAGCAGGTTATCAAAGTTCTTTTGTTACCTTTTTCTTACAGCGGCTGTTCCGCAGACTCGCCGTTTCACCAGTGGGGGGAGGAGAGAGGAGTGATTTAATGTAAATGCCCCCCTCAAAAATACAGCTCTTGAGGATTTCCAGAGTACCGAAACTAAGTTGTTGAAATGAAGATTCAGACCAGTGGGATGTTAAATCACTGCCTTTCCTTTGGTACAAGCCTTCCTGCTGGGCACACTTGCACAGGGGAAATGCTCCATCGAGAGCTGAAGAGTTGAAATTCAGGACTTTTTTTTCTTTTTTTTTTTCCTCCTGTTTATTGTGTTGCCTGTGCCGAGCCAGGTCTTAGCAAACCTGCAGCTTCCTCGGTTGGAGAGGGAACAGTCCCAAGAAAGGGGGCCCAGATGCGGGAGGACCACCCCGTGGCTCTGAGTCTGAGGAGAGCAGCCCAGGGCAAGGCTGTGGCTTCAGCAGCCCTTTCTGCAGGCTGTGCTTAGGCCAGCAGGAGGCTTTTTTAGGACATGGTCAGGCTTCGGCCAGTTCAAATAAGGATTCGTTTAACTTGTGGTGTCGGTGCTCTCGGTGGGAGTGCTGTGGTGGCTCACATTTAAGTGTTTGGGCTGTTTAAATTTGTCCAAGGCTCTGAAAATCATCCTTACGTTATCCTGTGTGACATCATCCCGTCCACCCTTCTCGGCAGCGCTCGGAGCAGGGCTTTGCTTTTCAGAGAACCTCTCAGCAAACGGAACAGTGACCACGCAGGCGGATTTGCTGGTGGTTCCTGCGAGTTATATCCTGGTGGGAGGCCAGCCTGCGGCCTTCCGCTGGAGGGTGGTAGCGTGGGGGCCTGGGGCAAGAGGAACGAGGCTTGTGGGCACGGGCAGGGGGGCTTTTAGGGTGACGAGAGCGCAGAGGCTTGTGTCCCCTCGGAGCCCCTTCGTCAGGATCCTCAGGCTAACCAGAAAGCTGAAGTTTGGGGTTTTTTTTTTAACTAATTCACTGTGCAAACTTCCTCCTCTCGCCTCTCTTCCTCTTTACTCGCCGGTTCAGAGCGCCAGTGGGAGGGGTCCTGGGACAGCGAGATGTGGAAGTACCACGGTGCTTCGTGAGGGCACGCTGTATTCTGCTGGAAGTACATTTGTTTTGCAATTAGGGGATTGAAATAAAAAGCTACAGCACAGTTTGCCTACAGTGCTGTGTAATTAGAAGGAAGAATATGTCACAAGCGTCCTGTGTTTGTTGAAAATAAGAAGGGATGGGGAAGCTGTTACCTTGATTGATGCAATTAAGATCACATCAGTAAGACAGACCAGTTGGCTGCTCTTTGGCAATCGATGTTTTGTATTTTTACTAAGCCAGCTTTTGCTAACAAAGTTTTTAATTGGTGGGGTTTTTCCCTGTACGTTTCCGTTTCGTCATTCGAAAACCTGCTCGCAAGGCTCTTAACTGTGAGGAGCCGCCGCGTTGACGCGGCGTTTAAGTTCGCCTTTGTGACCAGCCAAACGGTCGGCCAAATGGTAGAGCAGCGGCCGCTGGGAGGAGTCATTTAAATGGGGCTGGTTTGGGATCTTGGATATTCTTGTAAAATTGTCCAGAAATAAATGTACGAGCTCTAAGCCTTTTACCTAAAACAAACTGGAATGCTAAGAGAAGTGAAGGGACTTAAAACACCAGGAGCTGCCTTGGGTGTCTCTTTTTGACCTTTCACTTCCGTTAAAGCAAAGGTGAAGTGCTTTTCTTTTGTTTCCAGAGCTGCTGGTTGAAAATAAGGCTCCATAAACAGCTCAGAAAGACTCGTCCAGTCAGCCTGGTGCCATTTTGTGCTTTTCTTTTTCAAAAAAGCTGAAAGGATGAGGCCGTACTCCTTGAATCGATGGGATTTCGTTTGTTGCGGAGCTCACAGGACCTTTGTCAGTCTCCCTGTGTTCCGAAGACGCCGCATGCCTCGGCTTGCCCTGCCTGCGCTTTGCGGCGTTAGCCGGGAGCTTCGGTAGCTCGAAACAAACAGCCCCTGGATGCTGAGCCACGGGCGGCTTCCAGAAGGCTCCTTGGAGCGTGGTTCGTGGGTGGTGAGGGCAGAGCTGGGGCTGTAGGCTGAGCCCTCCCAGGGCAGGGGCTTTCTCCGAGGAGGGCGAAGCGGCGGCGTGGGCTGGTTCATCGCTTTCGGGTTATTTTCGCAGCGGTAAAGCGGGTGCCGTGCCGAGCTCCGATAAACCGGTAGGCTGCAGCGGGACGAGCGAGGCTCACCGAGCTCCTGTTTTTTTCCCCGACTGCCCCCCCGGCGTACAGCCAGCCTGTCCAGGGGTACGGCACAGCCGCCTACGATACCAACACCGCGACGGTTACCACCACGCAGGCTTCCTACGCCGCGCCCTCCGCTTACGGCACCCAGCCCGCCTACCCGGCCTACGGGCAGCAGCCGACAGCGGCCGCTCCCGCAAGGTAAGGTCCTCTCTTCCCCCTCGGCAGAGCCCCGGTGCGCCACCCGCTGAACTGGGGCCCACTGGTTTTGCCTACGCCTTCTCTCTGCCCGTCGCGCCTGAGCTTTGCTCTCGCTGCATGCGATGCCGGCGCGGTTTCAGGGCCGGGGGAAGCGGCGTAGGTAGGTGCTGCTCCGGCACGGTGAGTCAGCACTGCGACTGGGAGATGAGAGAGCAACCAGGCGGCAAAAATGGGCTCTTGACTCACGATGTAGAACAGAGAACGGACCAGTCTGAGCTGAGCTTGAGTCACGGGGCAGGCAGGATGCTGTTACGTCCTCTGACTTCTCGAGAGGCTGCACATGCGGTGGACAGTTTCCTTTCTTTGAATCTCTGGCATCTGGGCGCTGTCATATTCGGTTTAATTGTTCGCTCAGGATATGAAAGGTTTAGAATACACCACGGAAACTTGTTTGGTAGCGAGTAAGAACGGCTTTATTCATTTACCTGGTGTTTGTAGCAACCACTGCAGTAAGGAAAGGCGGAGCTTGGCACAGCTCTTCTGTGTCTGTCCGCTTACACTTGGCGTATGAATCCTGACATCACTTTAACTGATTTTTTTCCCAGCTTGTACAACTTAACTCGTTTTACTCCGCTCTGATAAAGGCTTGGAGATTATGAGCAGTGTGGGAGGAATATAAAAGTCACATGCAAAGGGCTCTCTTTATTTTCAGGCCTTGGGAGTCAGCACTGGCATAGAACCACAGAGTGGTTTGGGTTGGAAGGGACCTTTAAAGGTCACCTGGTCCAACCCCCAACATCCTTTCCCTTTCATTGGAGAGCGTGTGTGGGGCAATAGCTGCCTGCACTGGGTTCTAAACCAAACAGGGGTGCGTTTAACTGACCCCGTTTCTGGCTGCTTTGGAGCTCGTCGCTTCCCAGCTCACGGCGGGGCAGCGCTGCTGACCGCCTTCCCGGCCATCTCACACCCTCCCCTCGCTCCCAGAGCCAAACTCTTCAATCCCTCCCTCCGGTTTCCTAACGCAGCGGGTGACCAGCAGCTGCGGTGCCCTGTGCTCGCTCCGGGGCGCTGCCCGGGCCCTTCCTGACGTCCGCAAACACCCCGTCAGCAGGCGATAAAGTGATCAGTGTTTAACCAGCGGGTGTGAGCTGCC